CTTTTGTCTTTTGCTTCAAGCTTGTTTTCCATCTCTCCACGTTCTGCTTTATATAGTTCATCTAACATTATGAAAATATAACAAGCATAACGAGGTGAAGCCCACATTGCTACAGCATTTACTAAAAGTCTATGAATATAATAACCTTTCAAACCAGGAGCCAAATTCTTGCGATTTTCGTACGGAATCTCTTCCCCCGGTTTTCCGAGGGAAGCAATCATATGAGGAAATTCTTCTAAAAGTTCTTTTGTCTGTTGGTTTTCAAACCAATGATATGCTTGCTTTGTAGAACGAAGAGCATTCATTATACTTTGCATTTGGTACATATCGTCTTTGACCGAACGAATGAGACGTAACTGTTTGTTATACTGTATGTACTCGTATTCTTCATTTATAGCTTCATGGACTATAACTGTTGTTGTGTTCACTGATGTTGACATTACTGTCTTTACATACAAAATAAAAAAATAAATAAAAATAAAACTAACTTTATTTTTCTAACTAATGAAATTCATTATTTTTGTGCTGAATTCAATAAAAATATATTTTAGGGTAGATGGTTAGATCTAACCAGATATCTAACCTCATTTCTACCCCAGTTATTTTATAAACGTTTTACATGGTAAACGTTATTTTTGGAATTTTGTGAAAACTCAACGGTTTGACACATGCCCTAAAAATTATTTTACTCAGAATTTTGTGCTGAATTCAATAAAAATATATTTTAGGGTAGATGGTTAGATCTAACCCGATATCTAACCTCATTTCTACCCCAGTTATTTTATAACCGTTTTACATGGTAAACGTTATGAATTCGTGAGATTCTAAACAGTTTTGTAGCTTCTATTTCTTCGCTGAGGATATCAAAAATTTTAACAATGCCGAAAGTTTCTTTATACTTCTTCTTGACGTCAGATAAAAGGAAATCGTCAGCAGTTGGATAGTTTTTGTTCAGAAATGCTAACATGTCCATTTTATTTTCTACCGGCTTCTCTGCTTCTTTCTTTAAGTCAGCATAGTCGTTTCGCATACGTTCTATCTCTTTGACGGAGTAGTTATATTTCCTCATTGCTGCTTTACATTTAGAACATTGCGGATTCATTTTTGCGTTATACATTGAAATAAAACCAGCTAGAACAACTAAGGCGTCAATGGTTTTCTTTAACTCAAAGGCTGCTGGTTTTATCTGTTCATTCCATACTTTACCTCTTCTATCTTTATCTCTTATCTGCCATACACATTTTGCAACTAATGAAACAAAGTTGTCGTATGCCTTAAACTCCCCCGATTTATATATGTCAGAGATGTTCTTATATACCATGTCGCAATCTTTGTCCATAACTTTATGGTTGCAATGATATCCTAGAAACTCATAATTTACCTTTCGTATGAACTTCTTTATTTCTACTGAGTCAGTTGGTTTCACTTCTATTTCATCGAATTCAGGAATAGTGAGCTTTTGTTGTTGGATTTCAGGCAATTTGGGTAAATGGTCAATAATGTCCTGCATGTCATAAAGATATTCTTCATTTTCTTCATCCTGTGCGGTACAGTCTAAATTACTTGTTAAAAGTTCTTGCTTAATTTTTTGTATTTCTGTTTCGAAAGTAAATGAAGAAGGAATGAAGTTTTTCATTTCTACTAACATAGATGTTGGATTCATGACTAACGAGTTTGGTGCTGTTGTTTGAATTGTTGTTGTGCCGATTGTTGAAATCATATCTTTTATACAAAATAAAAAAATAAATAAAAATAAAACTAACTTTATTTTTTCTATCTTAAGGAAATTCATGAAAATTCATGAGGGTAGAAATCGGGTTAGAAATCGGGTTAGATCTAACCATCTACCCTAAACATTATTTTTTGGTGTAAATTTCATTGACTGACTGACTGACGGCACAAAGTGGCTTAACGAAAACATTAATATATAAAATTCATGAAAATTCATGAAAATTCATGAGGGTAGAAATCGGGTTAGATATCGGGTTCGATCTAACCATCTACCCTAAAAATTATTTTTGCTGAATTCAGCAACAAAATGAACGAGGTCAGGATGTATGTAAATACCTTTGAATTCATTTATAACGCCCTTAGTAAGCTCATAAAATGCTTGTTTTGAGGTTGAGCCACTTTTGGCTTGACCGTATTCTTTCATCCAAAACTCAAGAATTTCCTGCATGAATTTTGTATAAAAAGCAACAGTCCGAATTCCGGCGGTTGCTATATTCTTCACAAAATGCCTTATAATACTCTTCCCAGGACTTATTTTCCAACAACTTTCTAAAGTCTTTCCTAAACTGCTGACACATATTTGTTGCATTAATGTAACCATCCTTGTCTCTACGTAAGACTTCAATACCGTTATAAGTGCTTTTTGTGAATGTTTCGCCATTAGATTTGTTCGTGAACGTTTTTGCTTCGACTGACATTACTGTTCTTACATACAAAATAAAAAAATAAATAAAAATAAAACTAACTTTATTTTTTCTGTCTTAAGGAAATTCATGAGGTAGAAATGAGGGTAGATATCGGGTTAGATCTAACCATCTACCCTAAACATTATTTTTTGGTCCGGGAACAACTTTCTCTCAATTGGAGCTGTAGCATACTCTTTGCGTAAGCGGTTCAGACCTTCTTCGAAGTCTTGGTCTCTCTTCGATTGAGATTGGAATTGGAATTGCTGGGGTGGAGCTTGCTGGAACAACCAAGGGTTGGGAAGTAAGGCATAGGCTGAGGAGGGTAGTTCGGGAAGCCTTGTGGTGGGTAGTAACCTTGAGGTGGAAATTGGTAGTAATTCGGAGGTACTTGCTGGAACTGAGGTTGCTGAGGAGACTGTTGTGGTTCTGCAGCTTTCGGTTCTTCTGGCTTTGGAAGGCATTCAGGAAGAGGAACGTCAGTCATCTGTTTGTGTCCTGTCGGAAGGAAACATTTTTCCTGTCGGATGGAAGAACTTTTTCTGTCGGAAGGGAAAACTTTTTCTGAAGTTCGACCAAAAGTTCTCAATTTTCGAAAATTGAATGGTTTACGGACGGACAACTGGAAGAGTTCTTCCTGTTGTCGGAAAAATTTTTCCCTTTGTCGGAAAATATTTTCCTGTCGGATGGAAGAACTTGGAATGCAAGAAAGACTTGACGAGGCAATTTACCTCATTGAACTTAACGAGCTTGTTAAAGACTTCCTCAGGCAGAATGTAAAAAGCAAGCTTGTTAACGGTTGGATAACGGGAAGGGCTGCCTTGACTCTCGAGATTTCGACTGGAATTCCAATTGAGGTACCAGAAGGCACTCCTTTCGACGACATAAAGCAAGCAAAGAAAGAAGCTCTTCTCAAGTTCTTTGCAAAGCGCCCATGGATACAACTTCCAAACAGAGAGAGTCCAATTCCACGAATTATACAAATTCTCAGAGCACTGTTCCACTTCTCGGGTCAGCCGTTCTACATAACCTCAGAAGGCGACATTCAGCCAGTTCAGTAAACATCTCATTTTAACTCACTTTTTTTATGTTTTTTGTGAAAGTGTCAAAAATAAATTGTTTTCATGAGTTTTCTACGATGTTAGAAAAAATGTTATTTTCTAATATCTTCACATTCAATACTTTTTCAGCACTTTTCCGTAGTTATATATGAAAGACAATTCGAGATAAAAGTCATAGTACAATGGAATAATATGTTGCACACCATTTGTTGTGAACCAAACTTGAAAGTCAGAGAAACTGTTACTAGGTGGTTCGTAGAATTTAGAAGCAAAGTCATAAGGTCCTTACCAATACATAGAAAACTATTGTTGCTTGAACTGAAACTTGCATGACACATAACATTTTGAGGGTCAAACACGTTTCTATAAACCATCAAATCTGCTGGTGGAAGTATAAATTGAAATGGACCATCTGGTGGTAATGGTTCGTTCTGGTTTAGTAACGAAGAAATTGTGCCCAAGAACGTTTGTCTACTTCCCAAAATAAAAACTCTGTATCTCTTGGAGGGTTAATTTCAATCTTTTGAAATGAAACGGTGGAGTTCATCTTGTCATATTCTAGTTTCAGATAGTATGTTCCATTTAGTAAAGAGTTGTATTTTTCTTGAAATTCCCAATAATATTTGTTCATTTGAGTTTGAAAGTCATCTAGAGTTTTCTCAAGACTTTCGTCTGAACGAACTGTAAAGATTCTCATTTCGTCAAATTTGTCTATTAGACCATCAGGACCTTCATACTGCCCATGAAAATATACTGCGAACATAAATGCATTAGTTCTATTTGAAAACAAAACTCTTCTAAATCCTATTGCCTTTGCATCTGAAGGACTTTGAAGCCAACGAATTGGATAGTCAAACCTGTATGCTCGGGATGAAATTTTCATCTGAAATAGTCCTACCAGCATTTGTAAAGATATAGTCTAACGGTTTTGTATCTGCTACTTTTGTTCTTTGTTTTTCAACCTGAAGCATTTAATATATGTAAAATATATTGTTTTAAAATGGTATGCCATATAGCTTCTTGAATTTGTTAAGAAGTATTTGAACGTATTTTCCATCTGTATCTCTAGTGTTTACATAAGCATAGCCCGCCTTAGTAAAATATACTTGTAATTTCCTATAGTTTACGCCGGTATAAAAGTAGAAAGAGTCTTGTTCTTCGCATAGTAGTAAAACTCAAACGTATGCTTGCCATAGTCTGTAATTTCAATTGTTTCATCTTCTAGTTCGTCGACAAATTCGAATACAATATCTCCAAATTTGCCTTTGTTCTTATTGTTTTCAGAACGAGTGACCCAACGTAAGTTTTCAAGTCTATTGTCGTTTCTTATATGGTTTATATGGTCTACAAAAGGTAAATTGTTAGGATTCAGTATAAATGAGTTGCAATGACAACATGTTTAAGATAGTGTTTTCCACCCATCTTCATAATAGCATATCCGTCATTTCGCTCCCATTCGCTTAAAACTCTTTTTGTCTTTTTGTTTCTGACTTCAAATGACTCACAACAGTGAATTTCATATTTCTCATCTAACAAAAAAGTTTCCTTCAACTTGAGGTTCACTAACATCGAAAGGCATGTCCATAAGACGTTCTTCTTCTAACCTCTCTAGTCTGTTTGGATAATTGGCACGTGCTGTTTCCAAATCCATTTCGTAGCGAAGACCAGACAATTTGTCATAGACTTTTATGGGTCTTCCCTTCCTATATTTAAAATTCTTCGAAACTCTCCAACCATATCTTTGTAACTCTGCTTTTATTCTAGCAGACTTTCTATCCATTCTATATGGGGGCATTTTTATAAAAATAAAAAAATATATTTTTTTCTTTACTTTACATAACCGCTTGCTGCCATAAGTCTTTGACGCCAACCCATACCAGCTAATGAAGGTTGACTTGGTTTAGTTTGGAAACTAAACTTTGGTTTTGGTTTATCTTCAGTTTTTGGTTTTTCTTCTTCTATCGGTTTTTCGTCACTTTTCGGTTCCTCTGACTTTACTTCACTTGCAGGAACAGTTGTGTCGTCAACATCTTCATAAATATCATATGCCATTTGTTTTTGTTTTCCTTTCAACTTTTTGTGTTTGTTGTAAAGTTTAGAATATTTCGACTCTAAGTCAATGAGATGTTCTATAATGAACTGTTGTCAGTGAAGTAAACTTTTCCATCTGTTGTCTCGAAAGCTCCTTCAGACTTCAATATTTTATTTGTGAGAGTCTGTTTCTTTTTTGAGATACTAGCCGTTCCATTTCTATGAAAGTGACTTTATAGTTAGGGTTTGTATTTCCAGACCTGGCACTTTCTATTATTGAATTTTCTCTTCATCTGTAAGTTCTTTGACAGTTTTGACAATGGTTCTGAACTTTTTGTTTGTGGTGTCAAATCTACCGTTTCAACTTCTTCGGTCATTTCATCTCAGTAAAAAATTTTAATTTGGTTTGTTTTCAACTGGTTGTTGTTGTGGAGGTGGGATGGTTCCTTTAATAATATCATTCAGTTTCACATGCTGAGCCTGACTATATGGTATCGGTTTAAATGCTGGAAGCCGACAAATCCATCTTGAACTCATTTGTCTCAATGCTGCATTGTTCATTTCATCCTAGTTAAAAATCTTACATTTCCCAAGTTTGAGGCGGTTGCGGTTGGTTATTGCTTACCCATTGTTGTGCATGGTTATATCCTCTGTTAAAGAATCTTTCACCTTGGTCCATATAGTGTCCTGCTTGGTTATAGTAGTCATTTGCTTTGTTATAATAGTTTCCTGCTTGTCTTCCTACATTGTCCATCCATCCTTGAACTTTTCCTCTTGTTTCAGGATTTGGAATAAGATTTGTTGCATCTCGTGCTACATCCCAACCTTTCTGTACAGTTTGTATAATAGGCTGAGCTTTCTCTTTAAGTATACCTAATGTACTCAAAATCTTCCTTCCAATTCCAAATGCACCTCTGGCTATTGTTCCCACTGCGGGTAAAAATCTAGATGCGACTCCTGCTAATGCGCCAAATAAACCCATTTCTTACAGGGTAAAAAATGACGAATCCGAACAAGGACCCCTATGTTTCTAAAGCGACAAAGAAAGCACTCATGATAAAAATCTTTAGTTCAACACCAAATGCTTGGTTTATGGATATCTTGGAAAACATTCCGAGGTATAGAGAAGATGGACCACCATACTGGTTAATATTTGTTGGTCAAAACACAAGATACTGTGAAGCCATACCATTACAGTCCAAAGCTATTTTAGATATCTTAGCAGCTTTGACAATATTCGTTGACAAATACCATCCAACAAAACTGACATCTGACTGTGAAAGTTCTTTCAAATCAGATGATGTAAAAAACTATCTGCGTTCAAAAAATGTAAACCAATATTTCATTGTCGACCAAAACCATTCTGCTCTTGGTGTCATTGACGGTTGTATAAAAATATTAAGAGACTTAAACCAACCACAAGGTGGTGAAGCAAATGAAATGTCATATGACGACAAGTATAGACACTTCTCCCAGGCAAAGATGAGACAAGTTTTAAATATTTACAATAACCGTAAACAAAAAGGTTTGGGAAACCACTCCCCGAAGAAATGAAAAACAACCCTGACTTAGAGAAAGACTATATATTTAATAATTTAGTCAAAAGAGGCAAAAAGAAAGAATGCCGGGCTTCAAACTTCAGAAAGGTGACAAAGTAAAAATAGAAATACCTAAACGCGACCCATATGAAAATACTATTGACTATGACAACAATGGGAACTCGACAGGTACTCACATTCGTGTTCGTAAAAATAGAAGAAAGTATACAAGAGAATATTATGAAGTTTTAGGCAAACATGGCAAAATGTACACACTGCAAGCAGAAGATAAAACTACTATTTTAGACCTCGTTTCAAACTTGTCAAAGTTCAAGGTGGTATACTTTCAAAGACAGTTCCTAACAAATATAAGACAACTCCTGACGAATATGCTAAAGAAGTTGAAAATGACGACTAAGCAATTCTATACCATGCGTAAACTGTCATGTAAGGTGGCATGTATTCTTTACTTTGTCCCGTTGTTTGCGTATATCCTGAAACGAAATGTGTATGGTTTCCTTCTCCCTGAGTGTCATCCCAGTAACAATTTATAGCAAACTTAACGTCGTCTTTAACATCATATCCTTTACCTTTTGTCATTCCTGACCAATCCCAATATCTATGCTTATGCCAACCTGCTTGAGATGTACTTAAATCTATGTAATGACTGTGTGCAGGTAGATTTTCACCTGAAATCGTTTTACTTCCACCTGTTTCCTTTGAAGAGTTTGCACAATACAAAAACCTGTCGACTATTTGTTCCCATGCACCAACACCAAACATTACTTGAGGACCTCTTGCATCCATAGATGTATAAATAGAACCTACTGGGTTCATTAAATCAAACATATGAGATATTATAGGATTGTCTCTTTTGAACTTAAAATATAGTGCAACTATTTCAGGTTTCTTCTGGTTTGTGTCAGAATATTTTTTATAATATAATCTTATGTTTTCAGGGTAGGTAAAATCTTGACTATAATATTTATTTCTGTCATCTGTATAATAATATACTATTCTCGTTTTTTCTATTGCATTATATCTTTTATATCTATAATAATCTAAATATAATGTTAGCTTTTGTTCATCTACATGTGGTGTTCTGTCGTCATCTCCATAGTCATAATAATGTGGTGCTGGAGCTGGGTCAGGCAATGTCATATCTGCCATTTCATAAACTCTTAAATATTTCTTTTGTTCGTCTCCATATAAGTTTAAGTAGCAGTTGTTGTCTAATGGAACTTTAACTTGTGTACCATCATTCTTTTTATAGCTTACATACATTTCATTGTTATTTTTCGGAATGAGTTTATACCGTGTACCATTTTCTAAGGACTGTACCAACTGCCATCTAAAATATTTATTTTCTTCATTGACAGAAAAGTCACCAACAATAGTTTCAATATTTTTTGTTCCTATCAAACTTTGGTATATTTCATTGACATATGTTTTATCTGCTTTCTTTTCAAGGCTAACGTTTAAGTCTGTTATTTCAGAAGATGTATGTGTATGTCCAACGTCACTTTTCCTGTTTAAGGTTTCTTGTAAGTTTGTAATATTTGCAATGGTATGTGTATGTCCAATGTCACTTTTCCTGTTTAAGGTTTCTTGTAAGTTTGTAATATTTGCAATGGTATGTGTATGTCCAACGGCACTTTTCCTGTTTAAGGTTTCTTGTAAGTTTGTAATATCAGATATAGAATGTGTATGAGTCTTATCTGCTTTTGTCTCTAATGTTTCCTTAAGACTTGGTATTTGGTTAATATAATGTATATGAGTCTTTTTAGAATATTCGTTTTCGGCTCTTGTCACTTCACTTGACATTTTATTGTCAACATATGTTTTGTCTGCTAGTTCAGGATGAGTACGTTCTTTTGTTGCATAAGCATTGTTAGCTCTTTCTTCTTCTTTTGCTATTGCATCGTCTACATATTCTTTGTCAGCTTTGTTGTCAACATCTGCTTTCAAAAGAAGTTCATTTATAGGTTTCTCGTTTAAAGTTCCTTTTGTTGGATTTATACAGACAGTATTGTTCTTATTGTCTTGAAATAGAAACTCATCTGTTATAGGGTTTAATGTCAGTTTTAAGTCACCCCCTTTCAATGACTCAGATATCTTAGAATAGTTTGAAAAGTTTGTTGTGTTCTTATTTAGAGCTTGCATAATGAGTTGTCGGTTGTGTTGTATTTCTCTCATAGACGCTGTTTCATTTGACATTTTTATTATAGATAAAATATGCTTCCAATAGAAAAAGAAAATTCTAGAGTTGCTACAACTAAACCATTAGATGAACTTTTTACTAATGTCGGTCAAAAGTTTGAGACAGATACCGTAAAGCATGAAGGCTATCGTTTTTGACTACCCATTAAGATGGTTAAGAGACCCATCTGTCACAAAAGCTATTGGCTTTCGAAGAATAAAGTTTGTGTCTGTAGAAGATAAAAGTTTTCCATTTATTGTAAGGTTTCATATAGATTATACATCTGAAGGGCAACGAAAATGTGGGAAGAAATTGAGCTAATACAAGTTGACCTCTCATCTTCTCTACAGGCTGCATTAAAAAATATAGAAGATAAAATAAATTCATGTTATGCAAATATGCTGATGAATATGCGAATACGATAGCACACTTTATGTGAGAATTGTATATGACAAACAAAATTCACAAGTGTCATTTCAAATCTACGAAGACAATCCAAATAAAGACGAACAAATATATACAGAATTCACTGCAATGTCATGGTATTATTTGCAAAGAATGTTAAATCAGAAAGTTGAACCTCCTTTAGCAAATATCTACAGTCGATATGCAAGAGATGAACCATATTTATTTAAAGATGTTTTCGACCCAGATGCTATTATTGTTCATGCTTCATTTTCTGGCGCCCAAAACTCTTTCTTATGCTTGGCAAATGACTTTTACGAAAAACCTACAAAGTTATACGAACCACCAAGTGGAAGTATTTCAGACTTTCAAGTATGGTTTACTACAGATGGAAGAAAAAGAATAATTCCATTATACCATGCGTTTTACTTAGAACTTAGTTTCATATACACCTACTATCGAACGATAAAAATATTAAACTTTTTTAATATACCGGTTGTGGTTGCCAACTTGACTGTGGTGCAGGTTCAGGCTGTTGTATTACAGGAGCTTGTTCTTCTGGTTCAGGGTCTTTAGATATAATACCAACAAACTGACCTACTCTTTTACCAATATTTTTGACACCGTTCCATACTCCTCTTCCGACAGATTTTATTCCATTCCATATACCTCTTCCAACATTTCGAAAGAAGTTTCCTATCTTACTGAAGAAACCCATTTTACTATATGTAAAAATCTAATGTCCGCCTAGTCTCTTACGTTTCCTGTTGAGTTCCATAGCATTCTTTAACTGGAGCTCATACATTCTGTTTCTCCTCTGGTAGAAAACATATTCTGGGTCAACTCCTGTGTTCGCGTCATCTGCATAAAGTTGTTTATATCCCACTTCAGGGTTTGTATAAAACTCTTTCCATCTCATATTTGCATACCATGGTGGCAAACCTAACGCAGCGTCATTTGACATGGCAGTTTGCATTTGTACATCTGTTGGCACTTGACCATAGTTTGCCAATGCAGTTTGTATTCTGACTTCATTTGGAATATTTTCAGGGTTATGTGCTCCAAGCTGTGCAACATTTGGTTGACCTTGCGCATCTACTCCTTGCATTTTAATATTAGATAAAAATATCTCTTACGAGTACATATGCTGAACATTTGCAGGCATTGGTTCATCTTCATATTCTCTGTACTTTTCTGCCACGTCAAATAAATAAATGACACAATGGAAAAAACCTAAAACTGTTGCATGCTAAGTTCGGTCAAAATGTAAACCTCTCAATTTTATCGTCGGGGAAAGTAACTCAATTCCTTCAAAATTATTCTTTAAATATTGAATTTAAAGTTATTTAATTTGGATTATAAATAAATAGGCTAATACAATATTTAAAAATGAGAAAAAATAACTTTTCAAAGAACTTTTCATAATCTCAAAGAAAATTTTTTATTCAATAATTATATAAATTAATTAACATTCATAATGGAATTGGATTTTTTTATAAAAAATTGGTCCTACTTAACTTTTTGAGAGAATTTGGCTTTTCATTTTTTATTATGAGTAGACCAACCATTCCTTCTTGGTGGTTAATTCAAACACGCGAAAAACTTGAATCTCGCGAACTCAATTATTTAATTGCGTGTAAGCGAGTTCCATACGAGGATGAAATGAAGTGTGAATTTAGATCAATTTCGAAAAACACACTTAAAGCAGCATACACAAATGCAAATTTAACGCCCCCAAACGTTAAACCTGGTCCGGCACCAGATGATATAGGGTGTCCAAAGGTGCGTTTAGCACAGCGCTCTATATGAGACTATTAAAGGAGATATATGCTGATTATAAATATATAATAAAAAATATGAATATATGTATATGATGAGTATGTTGTATTTTGGCGCCATGCCGGGATATAAAATGAATTTTGAGACAAGAGGCGGTTTCGCGGGAAATTTTGGCGGGATTTTTTTCATTTTTTTAATGAATCATAAAGAAAACATCCTCGCTCTTGCAAAAAAATGCAAAGACTGTAAAAAAATCTACGAGACATTGGTAAAATGCATCGGTATGGATGCTCCTAGCTATTCCACTGTAACGTATCATGTTAGGATGTATCACTTCATGAACAAAAAGGCGCCCATCATAAAAATTGACAAAAAATCGCCGGATCAAAGAAAAATCAAAGCAATTCTTCAAGCGCTAGATGAAGACCCAAGAGCATCACTCAGAAGGATAGAGGAGATGACAAAGATACCACGTACAACAGTCAGTTATTATCTGCACAATTATTTGAACTACAAACTAGCGTATACACGTTGGGTTCCGCACAACCTTAATTCAGTTCAAAAAAAATCTAGAGAGTCCAATCTTCGAAAGAGCTCCTCTCTATATTGGGTGCGTATCAATCCAAGAAGTTTCGCTTTTTAGTAACAGGGGACGAGTCTTGGTTTCAATATGCAACAGAAGCCAAAATCATGTGGATCCCGAAGGATGAAAATCCGCAAACATTCCCGAAAAAAAAATTGACACACCAATGATTATGTTGTCGGTTTTTTGGGGCGTGAATGGCATCATCGCAATTGATATTCTTCAAAAACCTAATACGATGAATGCTCAGTATCTAATTGACAATGTTCTTACTCAAATTATCAATTCTGATGAGTTTGAGAAATCCAAACAACAAAAACAAAAGTTTGCAATTCATTTTGATAATTCAAGAGTTCACAAAAGTCATAAGGTAATGAATTACTTGTTGGAAAACAATGTCAAAGTTGTTCCAAACCCAATTTATTCACCTGATATTGCACCCTCTGACTTTTATTTATTCGGCACGCTAAAAAAGAGAGCTGAAGGACGCGAATTCGCGAGTCCAGATGATCTTGAAAATTTTGTAAGAGAGCAATTTGAGCAATTTTCTCATGATGATTTAAAGCGTGTCTTTCAAGCCTGGATCGATCGCTGCGAACGCGTGATTGAATCCAATGGTGATTATATTTAAATAAACTTTATATATATGGAGTATATAAGAATTTCCGAAAAAGTGACACCCAAAAAGTGACACTTTCAATAGGGAGTAACACTTAAAAAGTGACAATTTAAAATTCACAATAAATAAAAATAATAAATTTTTTAGTCTATTAAATTATTCTTTTCTTTGAAATCCTCTAAAAATTCTTCGAAATGTTCTAAAATATAACCTGGAGAATTATAACAAAATTCATTAATTTCTAACATATACGTATCTAACAATTCATTTGAAAAAAAAAAAAAAAAAAAAAAAAAAAAAAAAAAAAAAAGGTAGTGGGGCTTCCAGGCACTTCGTGCCTTCTAGCCCTGAAGATGTTTAGTATAAATGAAGTCTTAGAGGACAAACATGACTATGAGTTTTGATATGACAAGATAGAATATGAGAGAGGTCCTATAAACCGGAGAAAGTGTTATATAAACATCTGTCATATTACTCAGAATATTATACAGAATTCAATAAAAATATATTTTAGGTGAAGAGGTGAGATTTCACCTGTTTTTTCACCTCATTTTTCACCTCTTGAATTTTCATGAATTTCATCGTAAAGACTTTGTCAAGATTTCATCGTAAAGACTTTGTCAAGACTTCTTCGTAAATGTTTTGTCAAGACTTCTTCTTCGTAAATGTTTTGTCAAGACTTCTTCGTAAATGTTTTGTCAAGACTTCTTCTTCGTAAATTTTTGTCAAGACTTCTTCGTAAAATCAGACAAAAATATATTTTAGGTGAAGAGGTGAGATTTCACCTGTTTTTTCACCTAATTTTTCACCCTCTGAATTTTCATGAAATTTACACCAAAAATATATTTTAGGTGAAGAGGTGAGATTTCACCTGTTTTTTCACCTAATTTTTCACCCTCTTGAATTTTCATGAAATTTACACCAAAAAATATACTACTAGGGTCATTTACGAAGAAATCTCAACAAAGTCTTTACGAAGAAATCTCAACAAAACATAGACAAGAAAGTTCATGAGAAATTAGATGAAGAAGTCTTAACAAAGTCTTTACGAAGAAATTCATGAAAATTCAAGAGGTGAGAAATGAGGTGAAAAAAGAGGTGAAATCTCACCTCTTCACCTAAAATATATTTTTGGGTCATTTTACGAAGAAATCTCAACAAAGTCTTTACGAAGAAATCTCAACAAAGTCTTTACGAAGAAATCTCAACAAAGTCTTTACGAAGAAGTCTTAACAAAGTCTTTACGAAGAAATTCATGAAAATTCAAGAGGTGAGAAATGAGGTGAAAAAAGAGGTGAAATCTCACCTCATATGTCCTTACTGAAAAAGTATGTGTTCCATCTGAAGTTCTTATATACGGGTCTTCCAGGAGCTTTTCACAAATTATATATGTTTTCATGCTTTGTCACTTTTCTGTCACTTTTCGGGTAAAAACATTTTTATTATTATATATAAATGAATTTTACAAAACCACCGTTACCGTTCTTTGGAAATAAGAGTAGATGTAAAGATATTATATTGAGAGAACTTAAGAAACTACCGAATGGTCTAACATTTGTAGATTTGTTCGGTGGAAGTTTCTATATATCCCATTTGTGCCATACAATATTCCCAGACTCAAAGATTATATGCAATGACTTCGACAACTATATGGACCGTCTCAAACATATTCCAGACACAAACAAAATATTGAAAGAGTTAAAAGAAAAGATACCTATAGGTAAGATGGAACGTATACCATTAGATAAGAAAAATATTGTGAGAGAGGTTTTGAAAAAGGCAGAATATATTGACTGGGATAGTATATCTGCTAGACTATTATATAGTGGTTCTATAAGAGTTCATGACATTGAAACACTTATGTCAAAAGTTTTATATCTTAACTATACAAATGTTTTCAAAGAGAACATAGAAAAATATATTGAGGGTATAGAGTTTGTGAGATGTCATTGGACAGATTTGTATGAAAAATATAAAGACAAGGAAAATGTTTTCTTTATAGTGGACCCGCCGTTCTATAACACATGGGATTTTCAATACCAAGTAGACTGGACTTTGAGAGACTCTTTAGAAACTTTAGACGTTTTACATAACCATCCATGCTTTTACTTTACATCCGATAAAAGTGGTTTGGAAAGTGTCATGAGATGGTTAGAGGACATACATGACTATGAGTTTAGATACGATAAGATAGAATATGAGAGAGGTCCTATAAACTGGAGAAAGTGTCACAATAAAGAAATTTTATTGGTAAGTAAATGTGGTTTGAAATAGGACTACTTGTTTTAGGTTTTTTCCATTGTGTCATTTACTTATTTGACGTGGCAGAAAGATATAGAGAATATGAAGATGAACCAATACCAGCAAATGTTCAGCATATGTACTCGTAAGAGATATTTTTATCTAATATTAAATGGACGCACAGAACTTAGCGAATGCACAGCAACCTGGACAACCAAACCCAGAGAATATTCCAAATGAAGTTAGAATACAAACTGCAATGGCAAACTATGGTCAAGTGCCAACAGATGTACAAATGCAAACTGCCATGTCAAATGACGCTGCGTTAGGCTTACCACCATGGTATGCAAATATGAGATGGAAAGAGTTTTATACAAACCCTGAAGTGGGATATAAACAACTCTATGCAGATGACGCGAACACAGGAGTTGACCCAGAATATGTTTTCTACCAGAGGAGAAACAGAATGTATGAGCTCCAGTTAAAGAATGCTATGGAACTCAACAGGAAACGTAAGAGACTAGGTGGACATTAGATTTTTACATATAGTAAAATGGGTTTCTTTGGAAGAATAGGAAACTTCTTTCGAAATGTTGGAAGAGGTATATGGAATGGAATAAAAACCGTAGGAAGAGGAATTTGGAACGGAGTCAAAAATATTGGTAAAAGAGTAGGTCAGTTCGTTGGTATTATACCTAAAGACCCTGAACCAGAAGAACAAGCTCCTGTTATACAACAGCCTGAACCTGCACCACAGTCTAGTTGGCAACCAAATCCAACACCTCAACCGTATTAAAAATTATATTTTTACCGTTCGATAGTAGTTGTATATGAAACTAAGTTCTAAGTAAAACGCATGGTATAATGGAATTATTCTCTTTCTTCC